CTCCGCGTCCTGCGGGGGGCGTGGCCGAGGGGCCGCCACGCGCGCTTTTCGCGGCAAAATTCAAAGGCCGGCAGGGTGGCTCTCCAGCCTCCTCCTCAAAGTTGGGGCGAGGCGGGGCCAACCTCGAAAGGACTGCAACTCCCAGTATGCAGCGCGCAGGCACCGGGCGGAGGGGTCCCAACTGGGGGTGCAGGGCATGTTGGTACTTGCAGTCCTTTTGTCGGGCATAGGGGAGGGGGTGGGAGGGGAGCGAGGGCCTGGCCGGTGTCATTATTGAGCACACATTTGGTAGCTATTTGTTAAAAATAATGAAAACAATAAAAGAAGCTAACACATGTAGCAAAGTACTTTACCTAATCTTCACACACAACCCTGTGAGTTAGGTATTGTCATCACCCCCATTTCACCAATAAGAAAACGGATATGGTAGGTATTAGTATTATGCTCCCCACTTACAGAGGAGACTGAGGTAAGAGATGTGACGGGACACTGTCTGGAGTGCCTTGCCTCAGGACACAGTTTCGTCAGTGATGGAGTTTTGGTAGCACATCTGAGATCCCTGGAGCACTAACCATATAACCAGACACCATAGTGAGCTCCTTCCAAACTCTATCTCATGGAACCCTCACCACATCCATGGGAGGCAGGCACTGCCCCACTGAACAGACGGGGAAAATGAGGCACAGTACTACCTGGGTTCCAGATTGTGCATCCATCAAACTACACGGAACCTCGCTTTTTGCTTTCTAAGCAGCCTCATAGGTTCTCATTTGTTCTACCTGCGAGCCCATGGCTGGCTCCTTTAACAGTCCCATTTGACAGCTGGCAAGAGTGAGTCCTGGGAGGAACAGTTCCCTCAGTTGCCATGTGTCCATCACACAGCGAGTTGGGGAGCCAGCTTTCCAGGAACGACCTCAGGATCCCTACAGAAATGCAAAGCAGGAGCCAGAACTCTCCCACTGCCCTCAGACCATGTCCATGTGACCCCCCTAGAACCCCACAGGACCTGGGTGAGCTCCAGCCCTGCCCGTGCTAGCTGTTGGCCTTTAACATTTGTTTTCATGACTCTGTGCCTCCGTCTCTGGTCGCTATGTCCTAATTCCTACCTTACAGGGTTGTTATGAGGGCAAATTGAGTTACTGGGCGGAAAGGACTCAGAACACAGTAAGTGCTCAATAAATGCCGATTGTGGTTATCAAGACGTGAGGGCTTCGGAGGCCCTGCGGAACGCACTGTGTGGGATGAGCTGATTATAGTCGGCCCTGGCCTACTTCAGGAGCCCAACCACCCCTACCCAGAACCTGGGAGAGGCGCCTGCCGGGGAGCTCAGGGCCGGCCCAAGTAGGCCACCTACTGCCTTATCTAGGACAGGAGCTGGCCCTGTTTCAGGCTGCTGAGCAGCCGCCGCCACACAGTTCCCAGCAGCTCACATGCTGGCTGCCTTCTCCTCTTTCGTTCTATCCGAAGCCCCACCCACCCCACCCCCTGGGAGTTGGGGTGGGGGTGGCGATTTACCTGGGAACATGATACGGGGCCAGCTGCTTCCACTCCGGGCCCTCCGCCTGAACTGGCAGTGACGTTGGGGCACGTTGCCTGGGCAACGTTCTGGGTGGACTGGGGTGTGGACAGGTGGGGAGAATGCATGGCGCACCCAAGCCAGGTGCAGGGCGAGGGACCATGACAACCAAAACCCTGGAAGGAAGAGGCAGGAGGGGGAGTAGCAGGCAGCGGGCCACACACAGCCTTCCCAGCGTTTGGGATTTTTTCCCTTGTGATAACCATGACTTGACATCAACTATGGGCCAGGCAGTGCTCAGTGCTATTTATATCACATATTTCTATCTCCTTTCACCCTCACAGCAACCCTGTGACGTCTATTTGGTTATTACCCACATCTTAGAGCCCAGGAAAGCCATGTGACTAGTACAAGGTCACACGATGACAGAACCGGATCCCAAACACCAGCCCTCCTGACCTTGGTTTATTGTATGAAGTGCCAGTCACTAATTGACTGGGTGTGACCTTAAGGGCAACTTTCTTCTCCTCTCTGGACCTCAGTTTCCTCTGCTGGAAAATGGAGAGTGAGGCTCACAACCTAACCTACCAACTAGACTCTGGAGCTGGCCGCCCCCCGCCTCACCCCAGCAGTTCCCAAAGGCCCCAGTGGTTACAGTTTACAGTCAGGGGTTTAGAAGATCCCAAAGCCCCACCGTCTCTGAAGTCTGTGACTCCAGGATGTGCCAATGGTGGGATTTCAGGCAACAGCAGGCTTGAAGGTAGCTATGTGGGTGGAGGGGTTTCTTATAGGTATCTCTCACACCCCTCCAGGCAGTGAACACCCCTCCGCCCCCGCAATAGATGATCAGTCTTGGTCCTTCACTATGTCCCACACTCACAGTGCCTACCACCCCATACCACCCCCAACATGCCCACCTCCCTGAGGTCTGGCCCTCATGCCCCCCCCCCCCAACTTCCAGCCTCAATCCAGCCTCCCTTGCTTTTGCTTGTGTCCAGTAACTGCATTATGTGAATGGAGACAGTGTCAAGATGGACTTGCCATGGTCCACAGAACCACCAGGCAGTCAAGCCCTGACGCTGGCTCTGGCCAAGGGTCTAAGAGGCCCCGAGGGGACAAGGGGACAGATGGCACCTCTTTCCTCACTGCCCTTGTATGCTCCCTACATACCAGCCTTGCTACACTGTCTGCACATCCTTCCATGTGTCTCTTGGACTTCCAAGCCCATGCTGTCCCTCTCCACCTGGAATATCTTTCCTCCAGGTAGTTGATTCTTGCTCCACCTTCAGATTTCAGCTAGGGCGCCACCTCCTCTGGGAAGTCTTCCCTGACTGCCACCCTCCAGGCCAGAGTGCTTCCCCCTTTAAAGATGTGCCCAGGCTGTTATAATGGCCCACCTATTTGCCAGTCTTCCCCACCAGCCTTGGGTCTCTGCGAGGGAAGGGGCTGCACTCAAACTGTTTTATCCCTAGCACAGGCCTGGCATAAAGTCAGTGCTAAATAAAGATTTGTTGAATTAATCTCTGAATCAATGAATGAATGTGCCCATTCGTTTAGTTTAGTTTTGTTTTCTTGTAGGAAGGAAGAGCAGGGAGAGGAGGAGGGGGAGAATCAGACCTACTAGCCATGAGCCTCAGCTGCTCTATGCCTCAGTTTCCCTCATCTATGAAATAGGGTTAAGTGCCACATAGGCACTGCTCCAGGAGCCTGAAGCCTGGAACTTTGCATCCACATATATAAGATTAGTCATGCCCTCACTCGCTGAGGCCCAAGCATTCCTCCTTTAATTCTGCTCATTCATTCATTCATTCATTCATTCATCATTTCCTGGTGGCCTGTCCTGTGCCGGTCACTGGGGATTCAACAGTGACCCAGACACAGGCTCTGGCTTCATGGAACTCAAGTTTCATGGGGGACAGAGAAGGCAACTAGCAGTTATCACCCAGGGTAGCAGGGAAGGGGACAGCCCCTGGCCCGGCAGGGGGGCTGGTGATGGTGAAAGGCTGATCAGCTGCCTGGGAAACATGAGGAGGTGACTGAGGGGAGAAGGGAGAGAAGAGAGCTCTTGGCAGAGAAACGGCCACGGCAAAGGCCTAGCGTCCGGGTGAGGGAGCTGTGACTGCCCCACGCACGGAGGTGGGTCAGGGGCTCAGCTGCAGCTGGGGAGGGAGCAGACACCGAGCCTTTATTCGGTGGCGGAGCAGGCCTGCCCCAGCCTCCCTCCCAGCCCCCACGTGCCTGCCTCACCTGCCCTCATTGCTGTAATCTAGGCCAGAGCCTGGAGGGAGCCGAGCCCCCATTGGTGCACACCACGTAGATTTTTCAGAGATAATTTAATCAGAGCTATTAATAAGCAGAGAAGAAAGAGCTCTTTATGCTCCTGGAGCAGAGGGAAGGGAAGGAGCACGGTAACCTTGTTATTCACCCAGCCCTGCCCCCCAGTACCTGGAGCCTCTCTCTGGGGCAGGCCTAGGGGGACGGGGCCAGGAGGCCAAAAGGGGGCTGAGGTAGTCTCAGGGCCTGGCCCCTGCCAGGCTCCCGGGCCCCCTCCACCCTCACACGCCTCTAGCCACTTTGGCCTTTGGTTGCTTGAAGGTGCCAAACTGTTTCCCACCTTGAGGTCTTTGCACAAGCCGTCCCCTCTGCCCAGAACACTCTCCTCTGCTCTTCGCACGCTGGCTCAGTATTGTACTGTAGGTCCCAGGTCCAACGTCGCCGCCTCAGAGAAGCCCTCTCTGACTAC